ACCTCAGGGACAATATCTTGCTGCAGCAACGCTCTGGTACATCCTACGACCCCTAAGACCCAACTGTCAGACTGCAACCTTTTGCTTTTTAAATAGTTTTTGTGTTTGGAGCAAAGGTTCGAGCCCTTGAGGCGGGCAGAGGGCTCCATGCCCTTGACCGCAGATCCCCCGACACTCACAGAGGTCAGCCTGAAGCAGCTTCTAACCAAACTTCCGAGATAGCATTCAATAGGAAGACACGAAGGAAATGAATGAAGTTAAGATGTGCCCAGTAACAAACGCCAGGCAGAAAGCTTGAATTTTTAGAGGCAGGCCAAGCTGTGCTTCCTCGCAAAGGGAGCACCACCAAAGCTTTTCCAGGAGCTTTTCACAATCATTTTTGCAACCTCTGTGTGCTTTCCTGCTTCTCTGCCCTCACTTTACCCACATTTGCCCCTTTGACTTCCAAATTCTGTAAGGCAGCTCCTCCAGGACAGCCAGAAGAGCCCTGCCTATTTCCTTCTTCCCCTCCTCTCAGCCCAGGTCTTTCCTGGGAAGGAGAACTGCCCAAAATCTGCTTGCTACTCCAGCAGTGCTGGCAACGCCAAGCATCACTTCGTGAATCCCCTGTTATATATGGCCTTATCAAATGGCCATCCTAGGCCTCCAACGCCACGGTAGGAGACAATCTACACCAAGCATGCTAAGATGCATTTTCTCCCCCACAGTCTAGGTTTTCCTTCAATTTTTAGGAGGCCATTTATCCCTTTGACTAGGTAACAACACTGCCAGATTTCTAATTACTGAAGCAGACAGCTTTACTGTTTCTGCTATTTCTCAGCTTACACAATTCGAGGCAAAACCACATATTTTCAGTTTTGTTTTGTTTTCCTTTTTTTTTTTTCCTCCTAGACCTCTGAGATCAGCAAGCAAGCTGAGGAGAACCAGGTCCCTTTCATTTCTACGTAGCATCGGTACGCTTGGGCCTTGGGAACCTGGCAGAAAAGGTAATTGGAAAGCAGAGGTCATCTGTAAGGGAGGTGGACCCAGCACCGAACACTCTTGAATTAAGTGACCAGAGCCATCCTGACAGCTTCTCCATCCAACAGCACGCATCTTCACAAAAGCATACGCTGAAAGTATTCCAGCAGGAGTCTAATTAAACACAAGCCCCATGACTGGTCCTGCAGACTGGAAAAATAACGTTACAGAAAGGCGATGGGATAAAGAGAAACAGGCCAACAGTGAACTGGAAGAGCAACGGAGTGGAAGATGGCACCACAGAGGACAGTGGGAAGAGCCGAGAATACTTGGGAAATATTTCATCAATGCTGTTATCACTGTTAAAATATTCTTTGTGGTTTGTGACAAGCTCCACAGCTTGGAGCAGGTTAGCAGCAAACAAACTGTGCTGGTAACACGACTGCGTGCTCAAGCAGAGATGCACGACAAGTAAAAATGAAATCCCAAGGGTTTGGAGTTCTACACTGCAAGGGGAGTGCGATACAGTAAGATGCACACACACACACACACACACACACAATATTTCCAGTAAATATAACCACAGGTAGTGCCAGGGAGTGCAACCCAAGCAATCCTTTAACCAGAAGAGGCCAGAACACCAAAGCAGCATTTTAACCCCAAGAGGACGCTGGCATGAGCCGGGCAGCAAGCAGGAAGGTTTTCCAACCCTGAAGGGCAAGCATTGCTCTCAGCACACTCCCAACCCACTTCACCCAGGCAGCCACGCACCACACTTGAGAAAAGACGAGGGCAGCTGGCTCGCTGTGACCTTCCAGGTGGGCACGGCGCACACCAAACGCTCCAGGAATGCAATCCGGAGGCGCTGAAAGCCAAAGGCAGCGGTCTCTCCGTGGGGCAAGAAGGTAAGCAGCCACCTTGCCAGCCTGCACTCCTCAAAGTAAGGTTGTGCAGCACGTTTTAAGAGACACTCAACATACTAAGCCCCTTTTGCTAAGTTGTTTGATCACTGTGGATGTGAGCTCTTGCCCTTCTCAACTCTGGATGAGGAATGAAACGTCCCCTTGAGCCTCTGACCCTGCCGTACACCGCACGTGTGGTGGGAAGTTGTTCTCTCCAGGCTTTGTTTTACACGTTTTTGGGGTGTGTCCATGTAATAGGGAGCTTGTAGCTGCCTCAGACTAGAAACCCACAAACGACCCTAGAGGGAAAGTTTCCGACAGCACACCAAGCTTCTACACCACGGATGCACCTTCAGATGGCTTTCAAGAGCCCGGAGAGCTCAAAGCCATTCAGAAAGAGATTGGGAGGGCGATAAGAAAGGGCTCCCACTCCTTTCTAACTTTTATTTTTAGGAAGCCCTACTCCTCATCCTTGCAGTTCACCGTGGGATTTAGCACTGAAGGCCGGGATCAAGTCCACCTGTCTGGCAACCCATGAACAAGCAGCTCCCGTGCTTCTGCCCCTGCCCACGGTGGAAAGGAAAGAGGAAGATTTACCAGGTAGCTTTCTCCTCAGCTCATCAATCTGCACGTGTCTGTAAACACATCGCTCCACGATAAAGAAAATAAATCTCCCTAAGGGCCCTGCTGTTTTTCCCTTTTTCTGCACTAATGGAAGCCACCCGTGCAACACAAACACTGCCAAGCAGAAAGCTGCACCCTGACCAACGCAGAGGGCAGCCCGTGCAAGAAACCACTTTTTTCCCTGATTTATTCTCCTGGTTTATTCCTTCTGCTCATCAGTCAGCATTAAGCAGCGAGCAACAAACGGTACTTCCATGGAAAATGTCGTGTCCGTCGCGCATCAGGAGCTCCTCCAGAGCTTCCTGCTCGTGGTGCTGACCGCAGGCTCCGCCAGCCTCACCGTGCTGCGCCAGCACGGCCTTCCACAGGAGCAGTTCCTCCCCGCAGGATAAGAGCTTCCACTCCATCCGTACGCTTTTCTTTCACGCTTCCATCCCATTAAGCAAATGCCAAATTCCTCTGGTATTCTGAGGTAATTTGCAAAATGCGTTTCGTGCTGTGCTAGCCCTGTCCTCTCTCTACAGCCAGGTCCTGAAGCAAAACACTAAAGACTCTCTAGGGCAGCAAAGTAAAATTTGAAAGATTTCAAGATATTTTTTTTTAGAGCTTTTTTTTTTTCCTAAGTTCAGCCAACCAATGGCACAGCTTAATATTCACAGCCAAAATCTGAGATGCACATGCTGAAACATGCCACTCCAACACGACACAAGCCATATAATCCTGGAAAGCCGCGTCGTACACATTTGGGTTCCTACAGAAAATCTGCAGTCACTGAAACTTACTCTTTCTAACTGGGTGGCATTTTACATTTCCAAATGTAATTGAGTGAGCACGTTGCCATGGTTACGGTAGGATTCTGCAATAACTTTGTTGCCTTGTAATTGCTGTATATTTGTATACAAGCAGCTGAGCTTTCCTAATTCAATGCCCTCTTAACTCTTTCGGAGAGGCAGCTTTGGGGCTGACAGCTCCGCAAGCACCAGAGGGGATGGGAACTGGGCGCAGCGACAGACCACGCAGAGGGGAAAAATAAAAAAGGAAAGAAAAGAAACCTTGCCAAGAAGCAGATTATTATATAAACTTCAGAGCTCCTTAGCTTTTAAAAAATGTTGTTGTTAAGAAAGTCTAATTCAGATAATTAACTCCAGGTAGCTTTTGGCAGCGGCTGAAAGCACTCTGACAGCGGCGCGAGTCCCACTCAGCGACGGTCCCTGCCTCCAGTAAATCACAACGCCTTGGCAAAGGGGTCGCTCGCTCCGTGGTGAGATCCACCGGGGCACGAGGGCCGCAGCAATGCTCGCTCCATCCCCTAAGCCTCGAATTAGTGTGGGGAAGACAACAGAGCACAGCTGCTGGCCACGAGCACGATGCACCCCTGGCGAGAGCCAGCGCTGAGCACTGCGTGCCCATGGCCTGAGCTGCCCGCAGGCACCCAGCACAGCACCAGGTCTCGGGAGAGATTCCCGAGGGGAATTTTTCCCCTCTGTTTGGGAGCACGAGGTGATCCCACACAGCACGATCCACCCTGGCAAGGGGAGAGCCTGGTCTGGGGAAGCCTTGACAAGCGAGCAGGAGGGGGGAAAAAAGCTTCCCCTATCACGAAAGGCAGGCACCAAACAATTACGCAAGTGCTTCGGATAAAAGGCAGGTTTACTTCCCTTTAAACGGCGCCCGGTCCCCAGCCACCGCGTCCGATAATTGTTATGTAAATCGGGCTGCTCGCTTCGGATGCCGCGCTGCTGCGCTCGCCCTGCCACAAACACCCCGCGGATCGCCTTCGGGGAAGCTGGGGGACCGCACAGCATCTTCCCTGATAAATTCCTGCAGCAAAACCCACACGCGAGCGCTCGGCAACACCTCCCTGCTGCCGCTCCACATGCATTAGGAGCTATTTTTTCCCCCTTCTCTATTTTTATTTTTCCTTTTTCTTTTTTTATTAAGTTACGGCCCAAAAAAAACTGTTGCACAAACCTGCGGCGTGCCGGGCCGAGAGGCTCCCAGCGCTCCCCCCCCCCCCCCCCCACCCCGGATGCCAAAACCACGGCGTTTTGGGGGGAAAAGCCTGCTTTTAAGGACAGGTCCTAGCTCCGGCTGGGCTGCGATCTGTCATCCTCCCTCGCAGCCCAACCTCAGCGCAGGACCTCCGAGCGGCGCGGCGCCTACCAACACGCCCCGCTTTCTGCTTTTCACACCCAAAAAAAAAGCGCTTTTTGGGGCATTTGGGAAGTGATGGGGGGGGAGGGGGGGGGGCTCCGGAGGCCTCTCCTCGCACAGCCAGCGGGGCGCCGCTCCCTGCGGGGGGCAACCGGGGCTCGCTGCGCTAACTCCGGGCAGCGCAGCGAAGGGCCCCGAGCCTCAGGCATCGCCCCGCTGCCTGCGGTCCCCGAGCAGCGGCGGTGGCGGCCGCCGCCTCCCCCAAAACCCCCCCCAAGCCCCCCGGGGAGGGCTCGGAGGGCTCCGTCCCGTGGCTCCCCGCTGCCCCCCGGCCCGCCCCGCCCGGTGCCGGCCGCTCACCGCTGCCCGCTGCCCGCATGGCCCCGCTCGGCCCCGCTGCGCTGTGCTCCCCGCCGAGCCCCGCGCGGCTCCGAGGCGGCGGCGGCGGCGGCGCGGGGCGGGGCGGAGCCGCGGCCGCCCCGTAGTGGGGGGGGGGGTAGGGGGAGGGGGCGTGGCCAGGCGCGCCGTATTCTAAGGGGCGTGGCCAGCCGTGGCCACGCCCCCTCCCGCCTCATTCACAAAAAACGCCAGCGGTGGGAAGCGCGCGGGCGGAGCCCAACGCCCATTGGGCGGCCCGGCAGCGCCCCGCCCCTCTGGGGAAGCCGGCCAATCAGCGCGCCGAGCCGCTCAAATCCGCCCGCCGCCGCCGCCAGCGCGACGCTGATTGGCTGAGGGAGCTGCCCGTCATCATCTCAGCTCACCCGCCCCGCCCTCCGGCGCCCCGCGCGGCCGCAGCCCGCAGCCGGGCCGCCGACCCCTCCCGGAGCCCGGCGGCGGCCGCGGGGAGGCCTCGGGCGGCGGCGGTGCCCGCGGGGCCGCGTGCTGACTGACCTGCGCGGCGGCGGGGAGCCGGGCGGGGCGCGGGCACGGCGCGGGCACGGCCCCGGCGCGGACACGGCGGCGCGCGCGCCCCCGACGGCCTCAGCCCGTGACGGGATCCGCCATCTTGGAATTTTGCGCGGCGGCGTCACGTGGTGCGACCATTTTCCCCGCGGCCAATCAGCGCGCGAGGGCTATTTATAGCCGCGGCCCCCCCCCCGCCCCCCCTCCCAGCACTTCCCGCCGGCGGGGGGGAAGGCAGCCAATCAGGCCACGCCTCGCTGCCCAGGCCACGCCCACCGCCCGTTGCCAAGGCGACGCCGCGGCGCGCGGCCCGGCCGCTGCCCGCTGTCTGAAGCGGCCGCCGGCCATGGCGGCCATTTGCCGCCCCCTGCCCCGCCATGGCTCCTAGCAGCAGGCGGGCGTCCCCTGCTCCTCCTGCCCCGAGTGACACAGCCACAACTAAATTACCCTCACATATCGCCCCCTCAGACCGCCCTGATTCCCAGGATAACGCATAGTATATATATTCTGAGCATACCATATAGTATATACACCGTACACCACACTACATATACATACAGCATCCTGATTCCCATGGAAATTCATTTACTTGTGATACCATGGAAAACGCAAGCCAAAATAGATATACAATGTCTTATTAGCCTATGGATTTTTATTTTTTTGAGGATTTTCTGCATCCAAAATCCTGCTGCTGGAGTTTCTTTAAATCCCTCTACTGACCTACAAAAATGGTGGCTAGATACACCGCTTTTAATAGTAAATAGACAAATCACGCTATGAAAAAGAGAGATTACAGTTCAAAATATAAATATTTGCCTGAATTATCAAGGGTAAAAAAAAATAAAAAATATATATATAAAAAAAAAGAGGATTGTTCAACATGCTTGCCACTACTCTGCTTTCCTAGCAAGTATCCAACATTTAATTGATTTTTCTGTTTTCTAAGGAATTAATGCTATTGAATTGTCAAACCTCCTCCCATGGCCATTTCGTGCCGGGCCAAGCCCCCCACTGACACAGCCACCATTTCACAAGAGTTTTGCTCTCCTGCCTTTGCCATGCTCTGGCTGGCGCATCCTTCCTGAGGAGCTGATCACCAGCTCAGGCTTCACTGAAGGCATCGCCAGTGACCAAGGAGAGCCTAGATCTCCAATTGTGTGACTTCAAATCTTATTAATCCAAATCTTATTAATCTTTTTTTTTTTTTTTTTTTTTTTTTTTGATAGCTTTTTTTTGAAGGTGAGGCACCATGCTGGTCCTAGAAGGAGAGGTGGTTCTCGTTGGCGCCGTTCTGGGGTGAAGGCCATCTGCACAGCCTTCAAAACTCTCCCCTCATGTCCAAGTTCATCTTCCAGAGGATGCTAGTGCTTCACATAGGTGGAGCCCTTGGCTTACACAGAGTTAAAGGAGTTCATGGTCCAGGCACGGACTCAGTGGTCTGCTCTCATGCCTCGGAGTGCAGCTGCTCTTAGCCCACCAGCAAATAGATGGGGACTTCCCACGTCGCTTTCAAGGAGTTTCACAGAATTGTTAACATCCTTGACTAAGACAGTATGAAATATATCTTTCCTCCTCGTATGCAGCCATCCCAGCACACTTCTGGTAGTTTTGATTAATTGGCTCTTGCTAAATTGCTCTTAAACTTCCAGATTTTCCTTAAAGAATAATGGACTCCTGTAGTTCAGCCATCTGGATTTAGGTAAAATCTGGGACCTGAAGGGAATTGCTAACAACTTTGTCCCTCCCTCAAAATTTACGTATATGTATTTCTTAGCATAAAAACACAGTTTTTTCATTTAGATGTTTAATGACTGCATATCCATTCAAAAGGGCCACCCATCTAAAAATCCTGTCATATTGATTTGACCCCTACAGTTGCTTTTTTTCCTGCTCTGTGAACAACATGCTCGTTTCTTGGCAGAGGTCAGAATTAGTCTGACAGTTCCATCAGCAAAAGCATCCCATTAACTTCAGCTTTCCAGTCTTACTTTATTTTTAGAAGATTAATATATTAGCAGCAATTTACAGCAAGCATTACATTTTGATTATTCTAAGCTTGAGCCTACGGGCAGCACAGCCTGCCTTCTTGTTTTGGAATATTCTCCCTTTAATATGCGTCTAAGAACACCACTGGCATGAAGAGCATCACTTCTGCATAAAGCTGAAGCCCGTTTTCATTCATTTTTAGGTTATATTGGCTTGTGGGCTTGTTTGCTTGTTGTTCTTTGGTTGGTGAGGTTTTAGGGTTCCTTGTGTGGTTGTTCTGCTATCTTTATTTCAGGGCCAGTTTGTGTGCTCACGCGTATGTACGCACGTGTGTATAAATAAGCCTCTAAATTATTTTAAAGTGTCAAGACACATATGGGTTTATTAATGCAGATTGTGCAGCTGGCAAGGCAACATTTGCAACTGCCACAAAGTCCTCCATGGACCTGATGACCGGCGGTCACACAGGTGGCTGTCTGCCCTCCCTTGCAGCTCCCCATTCCTGGTGCTTTGCTCACCAACACGAGGTGCAACCAACACTTTATCTAAGAGGACCCTCACAGGTTCCAAACACTCTGGGGCCCGGAGGAGCCCCCCAGGCACCTCCTTTCCCCAGAGGCTGTGTGCCGAGTGCTGGACGCTGCACTGCAGACCCATTGTGCCACCCAGCTGTATACGTTGCCTCCAGTGCTCTCTGCAGTGCTGAAGTCGTTTAAAAAGGTGAAGGAAGGAAAGAAAATTGTACCCTAAAAGTTGCCATGGAGTGTAAGTTTTATCTCCAAGATGTGATTGATGCCGTACTAGTGGTCGTGGGTGTGAATACGTGTAGCTATTAATACCCAGTCTAGGCTAACCTGTGCATAATGACAGAAAATTAAACCTTGTCATTGTTCGGATAAATTAGAATTCAAACATGAGCAAGAAAAAGTATTCTTCCTATATGTTAAACCTGACTGTATGCAGTGTGGTCTGCCTTCGCTGTAACTGCAGCTGAAAAGTTTACTCAAAAGCCATTTGAATTAAAATATAGAAATTACAAAAAAAAAAAAAATGGCAGAGCTAATTCATAAAGACTTAAATAAAATGCAATTACAGAGCTTCCCGCCTACCTCTACCTTGTCTCTAGCCAAACTCTACTTCTTGTTTGTCAAAAATGGTTCCATTTTTTGATGTTCTTAAGCAGGTAACAGCCATCACAACACTCCTGCTGATTTCCCTCCCCAGCCACAGGGTTCTGATTAAAAGTAAATAGCGTCCCTCAGCTTTCTGTCCCCATGCTCCCTCTTCTACCACCTCCTCAGACACAAAAAGAGCATCGAGTAAGGGACAAAATCAGCAAGAACTTCCTCTAGATCTTTGACACTGCAGAGCAACACCCACCCCAAGTGGCAGTGTTTCAGCAGCCAAGCTTAGGCACAAGTGTGTGGATTGCTTCCTTTTCTTTCTCCTGATCAGTTAGTTGCCATCATTGTTCTCCCCTGATATTTTTCTCCCGCCAGCCACCCTTCTTTACCTTATCTCCCACTCCCATCTGTTCTGCATCCTTCCTACATCACACTTATTTACTCCTTTCTGCCATCAGGAAAGAAGACAAAAAGCCAGATTTAAAACACATCTGTAATGAACCAGAGAACATTAAATTCACATTGCCCCACTCCTGCATTTCCCTCCTGACATACCTTTTTTAGCTTTGTCCTGGTGAATTTTGCTTCATCTTGGTACTTTGCTTCGTCTAGGACTTTTATTTATTTATTTTGTTTTATTTCTGTGTTCTGTGCAGAGCGGTCCAGTCTGGCTTAATGTGAGCTGAAGCAAAGAACAAGGTGGTTCCCCTCCACTTAAGGGAGGTGCCTGTTGAGGCTGAAGAAGCCTGTATTTGGCTGAAGAAGCTATTTTTCCAGCTTGTCTGCAGACCCAACACTTCATCAAGTCTTCATCACTCTAAGACTAAAAAGCTTAAATTCTGCAGCACTACAACCAGTCTCTAAGAAAATAAAGGTATTGCTGTTGTCTTGGACAAACTCAAGTCCCTGTCCCCCACTTCAAGAAAAAAAATAAAGTTCAAAATAAAGGTCACTCCTCTTTGTATTTACACTTAAAAAATATATATTTATCACACGTACTGCTTCTCAAGCAATACTGTTTATTTCAGTGATATGAAATGCGGAACAGACAGCCCTGTGATGCTCGGAGGAATCGGTGACAGCGGATCAGGCTGCCCACGACGGGCTGTGGCTCCTTCCCACGTGGCAGGTTCAGTCGAGGCTTGGCACAACACAAACCCTCCTGGAAAGGGTCGTGCTTCAGCATGCATCCTGGGGAGCAGGGGCTACTGCTTCCTTTTGCAGGCCACTGTGAGGAGAAGTCACCGTGCTGCTGGTGGGGAAGAAAATGTTAGGAAGAGGTAGGAGAAAGAAGAAGACATACAGGAAAAGCTTAGCTGTGAAGACAAAGTCGGATTGCTACGGTTGTCATTTTATCCTGGGCATAACACGCTTCTGAAATGTTTCCTTGCCGAAACTTGTTTTGAATATTTTTGGCTGGATTTTATAAACTCCATATTTATTCAGACATAACATCTATTCTCTCAACTGTGTTATATGAGAGAAGAAACGTTGCACAGCCGTTACGAACTGCTGTCCCAAAATCTTACAGTGCCGTCATCCCTCCCGATTAAACTGATGGGTTAAGAGGACAAAAGAAATCACTTTACCCTCCTCAGCTCTCTTTTCAGTTCAGTTGATGTTGGTTGCACACTGGGGCTTGAATTTAGAAATAATCAATAAATAAATAAAAAATTAACAAGAGACCATTGTGAAATTGAGGCCATGATAATTGTTGGATACACTTAGCTTACCAGTGACTGTTTTCTGATTCTTAGTAGTCAAAGGAAAAAAAAAATCATTGTTTAATTCCTTGAATTTTCATCCTTGGCAGCTGCTGAGAGAAAACCATGTGTGTGTGTGTTTCTCTATAGTATAAGCCTTAGAGAAAAATATTGATTCATTTTTCTGTGTCTTTCAACCAGAAAAAAAAAAGAAGAGACATCCTGCATGATACAGGATTAAAAATAAATAAATATATAAAATGGAAATAAATGTAAGGGAAAAGAAAAAAAAAAAAAGTAGAAAACTGACAAAAAAGCAACAAGTTACTTTTTCAATAAAAAATACATGCAGTCTGGCCCCTGGGTCTTGGTTTTAAGTGAAGATATTGACTTGCAGCTGAATGACGAGTAGAATATTTTTCTACTGAAATATTGATAGTAGATTACACTAAACCACAAACTATCTCCATAAAGCCCATCATTTCTAATCCTAATGGTGTTTTCTTTCCCTTAGATGACTACTACATTCATGATATGATGTCTTTATTCTATCTGGGGGAAAAACTTTTTACCATACAGCTAAATTAACTTGTCAAAAGACTTCAAACTTCGGAAGCTTTTACAGCTCAATTCAAAGCTATTATTCAAGATTGAATGAGAAGGCTGTGGACTGTAAAAGCTGGCAAAAAAAAAAAATAAATTTCACAGGCATTCACAAGTTGAATGGAATACTTACTTTTTGTTCAGGTTGTGTGTTTCATTGAGCTGCCTCAGAATAGCTGAATTTTGCCTATAGCCCCCTTGGTCTGCAACGAAGGACAGAATGCCTCTTTCTGCTGCTCTTGAAGCTGCGCCCCAGTGCATGCTCTTTCACACAGACTTGATTATATTTAGTTTGTGCCAACCTAAATAAGCGTCAACCAGCTCTCCAGAAATGTGGGGAGCACAAAAGAGAATGGATAGCTGCTAGACTGAGGCAGAGCAAGACCGCAAACTTATATTTGTCCTTTTCTTTTAAAATAAGATCACAGACTTAGATCATCTTACAGTCAGTTGCAGCTTTCTCATGCAAATACGAACGCCTGGCTTCAGGAGCAGCAACTGCTTTTCAGGAGAAGCAACTTTCATATTTTACAGACAAGTAGCAGCTGGCAGAGCTTGTGCTTGGAGCCTTCCCTTTCGCAGACCCAGTCTACTTTGCCACCCAGTCTCCTTGAGACAAAAGACATCTGAAGGCAAGGTGGCACTTAAGAGAGCCGGGAGGGGAGCCCAGGGCTCTCAGGCCAGGGCTGTATGGCAGAGGGTGCACATAGTTACTTGACTCACGGGCAAAGCATGTGGCGGGATGGATCCGTAATGGCCAGCAAGGAGAGTGGCCTGGATTCAGCACGCGCGTGGTGCAGCTGCCTCTGGCTGGTCTGCAGGGAATGCTGAGCACAGGAGGGAGTCTGAAATGCATCTTGTGACAAAGGCTGCTGCCGGTCACTTGGGACCCACAACTCACCCCGTCTTTCAGAATCTGAATCACTCTCTTTTTCCTTTTTTTCTTTTGTTTTTTTTTAGGATGCCTAGGGTTTAAAGCATTTTCAAGCGTTCAGAGTACTCAGCCATGAAATGGAGGGATCCAGGTTCACTTTTCTCTTCTGCCTGGGAGAATTTGTAAATGCAGCATCCATCGCCCTGCAGGGCTGTGCTCATGGGCAGCACAGGGTAACAACCCTCCGCTCTGAAGGCAGGCCGCTGAGCAGAAAGATGTGCGTGATCCACACGATGACAGAGCAGGCAAGACATTACTACGTTCCTTAGTTGTGAGGCTGAGGAGGAGGGTTAAGAAATGTTTCGTTTCTGTAACATCATCTGAGTTTAGACTGGAGTTGACAGGACCAGCAACGTAGCACTGAGATGTTTTGGGGCTTTGCACTCCAGAAGCTAAGCTCTGGGGAGCACTGAACAGCTGCCTTCATAACAGGAGAGCAACCTACTGTACTATGGGCAACAGCATCTTTAAATTCAGGTCGCTAATTGCAAGCTAACTACTGGATCTGACCTTTTTCTTGTTGGTGCCTTAGTGCTGCATCTGTAAAGCAGGAATATTACCGATCCCCTACCTACGAATAAGATGAGGATAAATGCACTGTGGTTTCTTACCCATTACTGGGAGACCTGAAGATACAAATGAGGCAGCATAGCAATGACAACTACAACAAAAAACACCTAAATCATCACCAGGCACTTTTGTCTGTGCATGAAAGAACAAAAACTTCAGGCAAAATAATAAAGTTCCTGACAATTTCTGCCTACGGTAGCTTTATTCCATTAAAAAAAACAAACAGCACCTCAGAATATGTCATGACTGTACAGGATTACTAAACACAGGCTCTTCTGCACCACTACATGTGGATATTATTACTTTAGCTTGGTCCACTGCTTGGACACTGCCGGTTGGCATCAGTGCTGATGAGCACTTTAATCAAAACCCCACTGGGCTTCTGCACATGGAGGACGATGAGAGCAAGCTGAATACAAAGCACATCAGCAGTGCCCAGGGACAGGAGCTCAGTACACCTCAGAAATAAATCGTGTTTTGACAGACATGGTGTTCTTTGACCAAGGTTCAAATGAGAAGGTAATTTTAGTTTTAACCAGTTGGGACAGAAAGGAGCACTGGTAGATGATGTGTGTGGGCAAAACTGTGCAGACGTTTCAAATTCCTAATTTCTTCCTCCTCTGTTTTGTTTTTCTAAGGATTGTTTCATTACACTGCATGTAGGTCACAACTTTCTTATTTAGAGTCTATGCATTTCCTGAATATGCATATCTATTAAAAGGGTTAGGCAGCTGTGTTTTGTACTTGGCAAAACCTCAGTCATCTTGCTTTCCCTTTCCTATGACAAAACCAAAACCACAGCTAGTTTTGGATTTGAACTCACTCGGAAGTACTGAAAGTGACCTCAGATTTTCTCTGTCTCCTCGCAGGAGAGCAGTCACCATGGCATATCAGCTTCTGAGATTGAATCTCCCTCTTGCATGTCCAATAAAGATGGGGCAAAAGCAAGGGCACAGCAAGGAGGAATACGCAAACAGAAGTGCGAAGTGGGTGCACTCAGCAAGGCAAGGGGAGCATTAGAACACAATCGAGCAAGGAGAATGATCTGTTCTCGATGAATATACCCAGACGTGTTCTCATAACTCATCCAGACAATTTCTGAAGGCCACGGTGCTGAGCCCACACCAGGTGGCTGTCAGCAGATCTACAGGTCTCATGCTGAGCCAAAACATCCACAGGTCACTCCTGCAGCACTGATTCAGCTCCTTTACGCAGAGACACAGAAGCACCCAAAGAGGGCAAATGCTCAGATTCTTATCTCCTTTTTAACATTTTTTCTTGATGCTTCTACCTTACCTGTTGTATCTTAAAGACTTGTGTTAGTTACAAGCACTTTCTCTGACTTCTTAAAAAGCATCACAGCAGATCAGGACGTGCTGACAGAAATACAAGAGTCTGGAATAGCAACAGTGAAATGGATGTGTGGAAAATGGTATTAAATCATCAAAGGAACACCTCCAAAGTTTGGAGGGTTATATCCAGACCCTGCCTAGCACTATTACATAATTGTGTGTGACCTTTAAATCGAGGACTCTCATTTGCAGATAGGCTGTTTAGTATAGAGCTAAGACATGAATATTCAGCCATTAATGTTAAAAATAATACTTAGAAGGTACTATGACAAAAGGTCAGATGAGTCAAAACTTTTCCAGCTTTAAAAAGGTCTGTGCATGTCCACAAAAAAATACCACTTCTTTTTCCAGGATCAGTAGTTAGGATCAAATCTGTAAAGGAACAGGGGGAAAAAATGAAGAAGAAAGGCGAACTTCACATTCTGAAAAAGAGCAGATAGCAGAAACCCCATGGTTTCATGGACTGGATTCAAGGAAAGGACTGAGTGGGACAGAGCAGAAACTAGAACTGGAGTGCTGTTTCAAAAATCTACAAGGCAACAGAGACCAACCCAGAAACGGAATGCAAGTAGTTGAGATATAAATCAATAATATCTACATTGCATAATAAGTACCGTATATTTTTCCTTTTAGAAAAGGAAGAGTTTACAATAGGCACCTCTAGAGATGATGTTGCAATGGGATGCGCCTGTGTGTTTCCAGCAGATTTGGTTTAGGTTGTTCACGCTGAGTCGTGCTGGCATCAAAGAGATGAGACACACAGATCTTGATTCATCGTTACCAGGAGCCTCCTGTCATGTTAGCAGGTTGCTTGTTGCATATTAAAGGCTCAGTTATGAACATGGGTGGAAACTTTTCAAACATCACACACCAGCGGGCAAACACAAGCAATTCTAGGAAAGCTACTGGCATGGATGGGAAACAAAAGGATGATAATTAAATAGAGCCTTCTGCCTTGGACTGAATGGTGGGCAGGAGAAGATCTGGCTCTTGTGGAGACACTAAGATGCAAAATGCTCTGATCATACAGTAGGAAGTGCAATGGACCAAAATTGGGCTGGGCTTCTGTATAAGCAAGGAGAAAATCAAG